AACTAAGTCAAAAGTGACCTATATGCTGACCCGGATAAAAAGCTATCATTATATCAACTTTCATCAAAATCTGTCCAGTGGTTTTTCGTGATGCGGTCACAGGATATAGACAGAGAGACCAAATTTTTAAAACTTATAGATATCCCGCCTTTGTATCGATAATAATGTCTGTTTTAATAAGATTTTCCAAAAAATATATTCTTTTTAGTTACAATTCTATTATATGTATAGGTGTCTAAAAATTTAAAAATATAGTTTTATTTCCACCATTGCTTATCAGCTTAATAACAACAGTTACCAAAAATATGAATTAAAAATAAGATCAATTATCAATTTACGCACATTTACAAAACGTTCTCAATGTACGTGTAATCAACAGACAAACACACGTCCCACATGCGATACTCTACTTTCCCATAAGAAACAGTCATATCTTTCATTCTCGATTATCACGTATGTAGGTTGTTAGCATTTTTTCCGGTCGCTTAGCGGTCTCCGCCATGAGGTCACACAACCGGCTACCACTCCGAGTATGAATGCCAACAATACTGGTTTATGTTTCATTTTCCTTTTATTCCATTAGATATAGATAAATCCACATTTAGAACTGTTACGTAAGAGTAATTACCGTGGTAGTAAGAATTTGAAGGCATATTTGTAATTAATTCAATCAACAATTAATAATTGCTAATAGAGATCTACATATATACTAATACTAGCAGTGTCCGCGACTCTGCCCGCGTTCAGATGACCAAAAAGCAAATTCTTAGGTTTTACATATTAGTATAGGTACTCTTACATTGCAGTTTTTGTATTTTTTCTCAGAAATGAGATATTTTCCCGCGGTAAAAAGTATCCTATATGTTGACCCGGATAACCCATATCTATTTTTCGAAATTTAAGGATATTTGGTTTCTTGTGATAATAATGCCCTCCCGATCGATTTCGGCCACGGCGGCCAATCTCACTGAGACTAGCCAGATGCGTGTGATAAATACTCTCAAATTAGATATACTTTTTAAACAGAAAGACTCAATAACTAAATTTGGCCGACCTAAAGCTCCGAACCTAGGACCTCCTGCTTCCTGGAACCCAGCCACTAGACTATCGAGGCAGACTCTTTATGTAAGAGTGGTATGTTACTGTGATTTCAACATAATATATAAATATTTTAGTAAACAATTTTTTTTATAAATATTTTAGTAGAGAATAACATAATCCATTTTTTTAGTAGGTACACACTCGCGTGGTGATCGCAAATAACCTCATGAGTTACACAAAGTACACCTTAATATAGAGCCCATGAAAAATAATCATAATAGCTGATATTTATATTTGTCTCAACCGGGATTCAAAGTTTACACCTCTGACGTACAGACAGATAATCTTAAATAGGCGACTCATATATATTGAACTATAGACCTATAGAGCGTAGATATCAAAACTAAAATACTTTTATAATAAGATTGAATTATCGTACAACATTTAACATAAAGTAAGTAGTTATGTATTCTAACATAATACCATTTAATTAAGATGACTATTACGCGCCATTGCTAAGTCTAAGCCGATTTCAACGCACTTGAAATCCCTGGACTGGACTTATAATAAATAGCCTTACGTCATAAGTAGTCATAAAATATTGGAATTTTAATTAGAAATTATATATTTTTGATTGTAAATAAAAGATTAAATACACAATTTTCTCAAAATGGACATTCATTTTGGGAAAATTCCTAAATATTTGGTATGAAGTTTATATTTAGGATAGAGAATCAAAATTTGAAACAACAGCTTTCAGATTGTTTGAGTAACTGATTATTTGCTCCCATTGCCACTCACTACAGTCTATATATTTATTCTGTGCTACAGTCTTTGGAATACAACTCGTAATTGATAATACATATAATATAAGTTTTATTTTATTCGGTTAAGCAAATTCAACGCGCGCTCTACATCTCTACTTACACGCTTGCTTAAATATAAAAAACATTCAGTAGTTATGAAGCGTGTTATATCATTTTGTAAATGTATTATATTGTAAAATTAAGTCAGGCGTGGTGCAAGCATGAACATAACGAAAACGAAAGTTTTATCTATATATAGAAATAAAACTACTTGTACTGGACCTCAAAAACTAAAATTTTCGACAATATATTCATGGTAATAGTTTAGAAAGCATTTCTTGAAATTTCACCTTAAAAGGGTGAAAATGATGGGTAAGGTTTAAAGAAAATCATCACAGGGAAGCCAGAACGGCCTATGATATTGAGTGAGCATAGATTATTTATTTTTCTTTCACTCGATTAATCTATTAGTGGTTGGTCTACTCTTGAAGTTCGAGGCACAAGTGAATTCTTTTATTTCTGCCTTCTTAGATACATTAAATTTCTAAAATAGATGTCGTTAGTATAAGCCAAAAAAATTCATTTAAAACTTCCCCTGTATTCTCTACCTTCTTGCTTATTACGAAACAGATTGAAGAACTTTACCTTTACTAAATCTGACAAAGACAACTAATAACAGATTGGAATAGCAAAAGCCAAACATTTATTATCAATAAAAGTTACAAGTATAGACATGTTTCTAGGTTTGAAATTTGTTTTTGTTGTTTTAGAAATTAAATTATTATCTATGACTAAAAACCCCAATAAATAAATATATAAATAAATAATTTTTACAATTTATGTGGTCTTCTTATTTTTATTATTGGCTAATTGCTTCACGGTGACATATTGCAAAATGAAACTTGTAATTAAATATTAATCATCACATCTTGGACACGTCGAATTCCAATGTACTTATTCATTCGAAAATAGCTCCGAAACGCTGACATTTTATCCGTTTCGAGCGAAATTCTTTCGCAATCGACTGAAGGATACATAACCACACCTGCCTTGCTAGGGTTGGTAGCATGACTGAGTGGGTTATTATTTTTACTGATACCACGTTTATTCCTCACTTTAATCTAATATTAAAATAATTACTTACAAGATAAAAGTAGGTTTAAATATTAAAGAATTGCTTACAGAAAAACATGATCTAAAAATATTGTGTTTTTTTTAACTTACTTCGGACTTATTTCTAACAAGATTGAGTATTCAAAGAATACCTTTGTAATTAATAAAGTGCGGGAAAATTAAAACATAATTTTCCAAAGGTCATCAAAAAGGTCCAAAGGATGGACCGACTTTGCGATAGCCCTACTCATGGCGGATGCGCGCAACACCTGTCTAACGCAGGAACCACTACCGGTTACCGATGTTGCCTTATTTCTTTACAAGTTACACATTCGAGAAATTTAATAACATTTTATTGTTGGTTATAGATTGTTAACTAAATGTTTACATCCACCAATACTTTTTTGCGGCATTAAAATAAACGTAAAAACATTATAATCTATAAGTATAATAAAATTGTAACTAAGCCGAATATGTAGATTAAATATTTTTTGGAAAATCTTATTGAAATAGTCATTATCGATATACAGAGGCCGAATCTATAGTTTTTATAATTTTTGTCTGTCTGTCTGTTACCGCATCACAGAAAAACCGCTGGAGGGATTTTGATGAAATTTGGTATAACATATAAGATATTTTTTACCGCGGGAAAATGTCTCATTTCTGAGAAAAAATACAATAACTGCAATGTAAGAGTATTCTAATATGTAAAACCTAAGAATTTAGTTTTTGGTCGTCTGAAAGAGAGGCGGAGTTGCGGGCAATGCTAGTTTAAAAATAAACGTGAAAATGTATATGTATATATTTATAAGCAGCCTACAAGATAAACATGCGTAAACGAAGCAACACAAATATTAATAGCATTTTTTCATATTTAATGTTTTTTTTTTTGCTTTAATTTTGTCAACGTGATTACAGCTGGACTTACAAAAAACATATCTATTAATATTATCTATAATATATTAAAATGTTAATGTGAAATAAAAAACATAACTGATGAAATTCAACTGAAGACTATTATCGTTATATGATGAAAAAATAAGTTTAGAAATAATTTTCTGAAATCACGGCTGTAGAAACGTAATGGTCATTGGCCAAATATAAAAAAAAACAATTATAAGTGATCTAACAATCGTAGGTACTTCGAGGCTACACTTTTCGGCGGAAATAAAAGAAAATCGTACCTATTTGAATTTAGAAATGTCATAGACGACTTTTATAACTGCTGTATTTTGAGAATTTTATATTTGTTTCAGGAATGTTTTATGATGCTTCCATGTTTTTAGATATCGCGACACATTATATTTTATCTTTATGTATAAAAATATTCATCATTTCATTAATTTCTCATACTTTTCATTGTTTTTGTGTAGGACGTGTATTTTTTCCTTGTGGCCCATGACAGGAAGGCGATCCTAATATCTGCATTCCTTATGCCCGTTTTCTAAAGCTATGAAGAAATATAAGAAAGAAAAAAAAGCTAACATATGTAAGACCATATGAGCTTTAACATCAAATCTTAAAGAACTAGTACTCTAAAAGCGTCACGTTGTGATTTGTGCTTCCTAATGATCCAACAGATTGTGAGTTTGGTTATTTTTTATGTCTCCATCAATTAAATACAGTAATCAAGTTATAAATCTGTATATAATATAAATTTAATAAGTATTTAATATAATATCAATTACTATAGTTGTCTCACGGAAATAAAAACACATGTAGTCTAGATTTAAATATTATAATCTTTTATTATTGATCCGCCGATATGAGATCAACAATATAAATACAAGGTCAGATGTATTCAACTTTCACTTTCGTGACACAGAAAAATGATATCTTTATAGTTAGACATAATTTATTTAGGCTTTCAAAATTTAAAAATAGCTTACCTTGATAAAGAAATTGCGTTAAAAAACCTATGAATATCACTTGGCAGTAGGTATTGAAGAATTGTGACTTCAAAGCAATATGAATTTACTAACAATTGTAAAAAATCAGTATGTAAATATATTCTTTTGAAGGTGCTTCGTATTCTAGTTACATTAGTTGACGGTACTTACCAGATATCAGCTGCAGCCATCCGCATATGTGGAAAACTGTCGTTGACTGACAGAAGAAAAACAACAGCATGGCACAGATCGTAAACAGGGCCAGCGCCACCGCCGCTCCGACCAGCACAGTGGCCACTTTGAACACAAAACCGTTTATCGACATAAAATCGTCCAACCGGCCCTTGCAGTCTTCGACAGAGTCATCCGTTCTACATATCTGCCATAACCCAAACTTCCTGGGATACTCGGTTTCCAAGTCACCTATCCATTCCGGTGTAACGAACGCCACAACGCATATAATTGCGTAGCAAATCGTGAAAATAGCCCAAAGCACTCCGATAGCTTTCGAATTGCGGACATAGTTTGTAGCGTACAAGTGCGACGAGTCAACATACTCTATTTTAGATCCCATTGTTATGTTTTATTAAACAACCTGTTTGCACATTTTTATTTAAATTATATTTTTTTTTTTTTTGCCACTCACAAATATAAACTACGTAAGCCGAGGACGCAAGAAATACTAAAAGTACAACCTCTCGCCGCGCCATTCAACTTGGCGAGTAGAGGGGATATGTAATCAAAGGTGTGCTTACCTGGACATTGTAAGATAAAAGAGGCTTTACGTGAATAAAAGTAGTAAGTTTCAATAAAAGCTTTCACAGTATTTTATTGTTATTACTTATTGAAACCCTTAAATCTGAAATAATTCGCAAGTATGTATGTTGTTTAGTAGAACATAAATAATTCCTCGGTTTGTAATTTGTATATGAAACTAAAGTAATAACTTATAACGATAACAAGTAACGACATCTATCGGGATCTATATTTATTAACGTTAATAATATACTTGTCTTGCTTATGAGAGGCTAATTAAAAAGTTAAAATAAAAGAGTATATATTGTTTTCTTTATACTATACGAGCATATTTATTACAAAATAATATTTATTGCCTTATGTAAAATATCTCATTTATAATTATGAGAATGCGTAAATCGAAGTGTCTTGAACAATGCTACTAAATAAAATAGGCATAGTGTAAACCTGTGATAAGACGTTTTTATATGCATTCTCAATTTGGTTGTATAGACCTGCAATTAATGTGTCACTGTCATGTAAGAATTGACAAGTAAGAATTGACGTAATTTATAGACAGCAACTGTATTTTGCTTGTGTACAAACTAAGAACACTTTAGCAACATCTTTTAATTAATTATCAGTATTTCTATGTAACTATTTGAGCTCATTTCGTTTTATTATGTGAATATTTACTATATCTTAGTGATTTAGATTAGTATAAAAGTTATTAAGCATGTCAGTTAGGGATAAGTGGGTTCGCCGGTTTTCGATAGACGAGACCGCAAAACACAAAAATGGATTTACGATTTACAAAATAACATCTGTTGTAAGTATTACAATTTATGATATTATTTTGTCAGATTCAATAATTAATAAAAAAATTAAGTTTAACGTGTTGTCGGTCTGTTTATACAAGTGATTACCACTATCGATTAATGACCTACTCAAACACTCATTATCATATTTCAGTATCAAAAGTAATTGTAGTCTTACTAGAAAGCACTTTATTTTCCTTTCTTTATTTTAATTTCAAAATAGAAAGTAGATCATGCATTTTTAAACATTTTTAGTGTAAAATTTAGACTGTAGTTAGGATAAATGTATTGCACAATATTATAACTTTGTATTATTTTGTAAAAAACAACAAGATGAAAGTAACATTACCTTGAATATCCATATATACAAATAATGACCAACAGCACATACCAATAATAATTCAATTGTATATTTCATTTTATTGGAAATAAAAAATTAGTATTTTAAAATGATTGTATGTGAAGTTGACTATTCTTAAAAGGTGAGTCACATCCTATCATAAATATTAAACATGCATTTAAATTACTTTTTTCTAATATTTTTCTGCTTACTTTTTAATATGTAAACACTTAGAATTTGGTTTTTCATTAAGCAACAATAATAAGCTCAGATAAATTAACATAATGTTTAATTTAGTAATTTTAACTTAAAAATAATACATACATTTTATTAGATATAGACATTGGATATTTAACTTTCAGCTCTTCCCTCTGGGGTCACCAGAAGCAGTCACTGTAGTTTCAGTATGGAAAAGATATAGTGATGTTCAACAATTGCATAAATCCATGAAATCTTTGCACGCTGGGTTACATCTTCGAGGAACCTTCCCCACATTAGCTAAAAGTAGTTATTTTAAAAGGTTTCATCAAGAGGTAAGTTGTGAAATTGCTACAAATTTCTGATAAATAGAATTGCATTGATTATTTTCAGTAACCAAAAGTTTACTTTTTTGTAAATAAAACGAATTTGAGGTATCACTCTGCTTAGCCAAGGATCTGTAGAAAGTTGCAGTACAAAACACTTTCAAAACAACATGTTGAATTAGCTATTTTTTCCACTAATATTTTTGAATTTAAAAGTAGTCTTACTAAATTCCTTTGTCAACTTTAGTAGTAATGTTTAAACTTTAAACATTGTTGTAATATGCCTGTAAGTTCTTTTTGTATACTATTTTTTTATTATCCTTACAAATAGTTTATAAATTGTTTTCCTTCACAAAATAAATATTATATAAACTAATGTCACAATGGTCTCAGTATATCTTAACAGAATGGAATAGAAAATCACTAAGAATGAATTATTAAGAAGTAAACATTTATTGTTTTAGGTTATAGATGAGAGAGCAAGGACGATAAAAATCTTGCTGGAGTTTATTGCTGAACATAGACTTCTATTTGCAAGTACTGATTTTGTAAACTTTTTACAGGTAAGTCATAAAATATTATGGAATATAAAATGTGTGTTACATAATTCCTAATCTATTAATTATAAATTAAAAAAAAATGTATATTGATATGGAAGGAAATTGGATTTCACACAGCAATAGACTAAAATTAATTTAATTTTTCTTGGAGATAATGTGCAGGCTTGAATTGGCTGTTAACATAAAATGTTGTCTGTGGTTCCTGAAATAATGCGAGATTCTTCTAGATACCAACAACAACAATAATCTTGTTGATAAGAATATTTTAAGTATTTTTGTTTCATTATGTTACTTAAAACAAACTTTTGACTAAATTTAATGTATGGAACTTGTCTAAATATAAGGAAAATTAACCGAAACTCTCTTATAATGTCATTAGTACTTAAATATAAAAAGTTTGACTATCCATTGACTGGCATCATCAGCTTAGCTCAATTATTGTGTTGTTATCTTAATTTCACTTATAAATCTTCGAATTCATATGACAATGACAAATAAGTCAAAATATACTCCCTACATTTGCAACTATTCATGATGATGACTATTCATGGTCACGGGAGGTCTCCCGTGACCATGATTGCAGTAAAGCATTCAAAAATCAAAATAAATTCGCGAAAAAATCCGAAAAGATAGTTTTATTTAAAATGACAACTATTCGCGTAAATCTAAGAAAGTATTATCACATTGTGGTAAATTTCTAAGAAATTATTGTTAACCGAGCGACCTGTGGCACGGCGGTCGGTGATAGGTTATTATATAATTATTCCTTATGTTCTGCATACACTACAAAGCTACGTAAGTTTTGTTTGTTTGTTTGTTTTCTCTTGTTCTAATGTTTAAACAATACAGTTCAACTAGCATGGAGGTTGTGTCATCGATTTTTGTTAGCTTAGCCTTTGTGTTCATGTCGCATTTTAAAGTTTACTAAATATTATACCTAAATTCTAGACTGGCTACCCAGAACCAGAAACAAAAGCAACAGGCGTTATAAACACAATACGGTCCTCTCTACATTTACCTATAGAGGAGACTCCGCCCCTGGAGTATCAAACTTCAGATGATGAAGCCAGAAGTCCGAGTGGTGAGTTAAATAAAAATATACTTTAATTCGTTGCGATAAGGTTGATTTTGTAGTGCACTTGGCTTTTCTAAAAATAGGGTAAGTATATATTTGTTTTTTTTAATATCTGGTAACATGTAATTACTAGTTTAACTTCCTTTATTTATTTTTTAACGCTAGGAAATGCATTTACGCATGAAAAGCCCTTACAACACACTAAAACCTAACGGAACCACTATTTTTTAATGGGCGTCACAGTCGTCGCAATTAAAATAAAATAAAAAACAATAATTGTTACTACTGTATCTAATAACTTCTTATTAATATTCCAGTACAAATAACAACTACCGAACACGCAGTCCCGAGCACCTCAAACGTACCAACAGAAATCGACGTGTCACAAATACCCATATACGAAGCGGCAGACGTTGAAATACGGGAATCCCCGAAAACCAGCCAAAAACTATCGGATTCCAATAGTTTCGAATCCATAAACTCTATAGACAGTTTAGACAGTGATCTCTACGACGAACTGTCCAAAGTGACCATAGACAAAACATTTCCGAGTGTCAAAAAGAATGTGTTGCCAGATTTAATCAATTTTGACGTACCATCGACATCTAAATTTGAGGATTACCACACTATGCCAAATACAACAGATTCAGACAACGTGTCGCTCGCCTCTACTGTCTATGACTCGAGTTACAATGAAGACAGAGGTTCCCGGATGTCTCTGTATAGCAAGAGGAGTGCTCTATCTCTCTCTAACGCGGAGAGTAAGACAAGGACGGACGATAGTTATGCTCTGTCTCTATCTAACGTGGAGAGCAAGACAAGGACGGAAGATAGTTACGTATTCGAAGCGGGCTATATGTTGAATTTAGCCGCTAGGTGCGAAGACATGGGCGACTATCAGAGAGCGTTCGAATGTTACAAATCTGGTATTGAGAAAATGTTGATCGGTGTTCAAAGTAAGTATACTTTTATCTATAAACTAGATTCCCTTCATATTATGACTTAACGCGACTCACGCTTCGCTCGGGCGCATCCCTAGGCACGTTTTATTTTGTTTGAGCGGAACCCTATTTTTTTTCTGAAATAAAAGTGGCCAAGTTACTATATAGAACATCAGCTACATACAAGTGAAAGTTCCGTCAAAATGGATCCAGCTGTTACGGAGTTTAGCCGGAACAAACAGACGGACAGACAGGCATTTAGTAAAAAGTTATTATTTTGTTATTACAGACACTTAAATTTAAAAAATAGCCATTACTCACTTAACTTATTAAAACAATGTCCATTTTAACGTGTAGGTACTTTAATATAAATAATTAACATAAGCTTATCTTTCAAATTCGGTAAATCGATTAATAGGTATCGTTTCCTTAATTAGACCGCGACCGGTACTTACGAATATTCGATAAGTAATTAGTTAATTTGCTTATAATTCGTTTTAATTAGTCATCGATATAGATTAATTATTTAAAATAATAACTTGTTAATATATTCGTATTGATATATAATATATTCTAGTTTCCTCAAATGTCTTTTGACATAAAAAGGGACGACATTTTTCGACTTAATTCATCAATACCATCATCATTTCGGTAGATTTCTTTGTAAAATGCATGTACCCATAACCTTCCTGGATAAATTGTCTTTCTATTGGTGAAAACCGTATGAAAATCCGTAGAGTAGTTTCTAACCTAGGACTGAACAAACAAACTTATTAAAAGACACTCAAAATGAGTTGTTACAGATAGCTCCTACTGCTGTGCTGTCTGTAACAACTATATAATGAAACCTTTGAGACGTCTAAAACCTTAGTCTATCCCGTGACCATGTTCGCTGTAAAGCATTCGAAACGTCGCATCGGGAACCAAAAATCAAAATAAATCCGCGGAAAATATCGAAATCTATTATCGAATTATTTGGAATATTTTTATATTACTAATGAATAATCATGTACCTACCAAGGATTTGTTTTTGTTCTTATTTTAATTAGATATTTTCCGAAAAACATTGAATATAATATATAAAAAAGCGTTATTACTACAAGAAAATTTGTTCTTTCACATGCATTAAAATATCTGCGTTTTATTACTTTACTGACCGTTGATGAATCAGTAGGTCCGGAAATATAATTTAATTTATTTTAAATATAATTTAAAATATATCAATACGTAATATGACGCCACGTTTGGCTCAGTTTGTAGTGATTCTACTTGCTGTGCCAGCGGTCGCGGGTTCGAATCCCACTGGAGACATTCGTTTGTGTGATGAGCACGAATGTTTGTACTCCAGTCATAGATGTTTATATTTATAATACGTATGTATTTAAAAATATGTGTAATGTATTGGTATCCATAACACAATCTACGTAGCTTTCCGTGGAACTAGACGGCGCTGTGTGTTAATGTCCCAATACATTTATTTATTATTTATCGATATGGGTAAAATATTATTAAACTACATATTTCTATGTAGATAACGTTATCGATAACGTTCAATCGCTTCAGACATCACATTTGGAGTCCGCGTTTCATTAAAAACACTCGTGTTTACTTGAAAATGGATTTTTTATTTATCAGTGCATACGTTACGGAATATAACAAAAATATTTGTGAGTGTTTGTTTGTTTTTAATTTCACTTATCCTGCCATATGCAGAATGTTTACTGCCGTGTCAAAAATTAATGTGTAAAACAAATTGCGTGTTTATTGTTTATTATTAGTCATCTTATAATATTAAATGAGCCATTCTTGTATATGTATATACTACATATATGTATATAAATTTATTTCGTGTATATCGGAATCGATTTAGGTCAAATTTGGTATTTAATTTGATAAAGTTGCGTATTTTATTAAGTTTATCTATAATATATAGGTTTGATGATTCATGAATCACACTGCAATTATAAATGCGAAAGTTTGAAAAATCGCAAAAGACATCTCCATATGTGCGAAAGTCGGGTTAAGTTCCTAGAAAGAATATCCATTTCTTAAATAAATCTACAGTTAAGAGCTGATTTTTCAATTATATATTAAACGTTAACTATTAAAAAAATCGTTAACTGGAATAAAAGTCAAACGACTGGATTGGTTTATTGAAGCAACAGCATATTTTTCATTATTTTTTTATGCTAGCATCACAGGTTTTATTTTGTAAAAAAATACATTTAAACAAACATAAACTCAGATTATTTATTTTGTAACAAACATACATTTAAACGTAAGTAACAAAAATCCTAACATTATTTACGTTGTTCAAATTTGTGTTAGTATTGGGGTTAGTTTTTTGCCAAAGGGCTAAAACGGAACCTTTATAAATTAGCCATGTCCGTCGGTCCGGCTGTCACAGCCATTTTACTCAAAGACTAAGTATTTAAGCTACTACTATACTGTTAGATAATCTATATATATATATATATATATATAATAAAATTGTAACTAAGTTGAATCTGTACATTAAATATTTTTTGGAAAATCTAATTGAAATAGACATTATTATCGATACAGAGTCCGAATCTATAGTTTTTGGATTTTTGTCTGTCTGTCTGTCTGTCTGTTACCGTATCACGAGAAAACCACTGGACAGATTTTGATGAAATTTGATATGATGATAGCTGGTTATCCGGTTCAACATATAGCATACTTTTTACCGCGGAAAAAGTCTTATTTCTGAGAAAAAATACAAAAACTGCAATGTAATAGTATACTAATATGTAAAACCTAAGAATTTGGTTTTTGGTCATATGAACGCGGGCGGAGCCGCGGGCAATGCTAGTTATGTAAATAAATATGATGATGGGTAGATATTTTACTTTGAACGTAAATAATTAGTATGTTCAAACAAAACGTAATGTTTCATGCTACGGAACCCTCGATATGTGAGTCAGACTCGCACTTGTACAACTTGTTGACTCGGTGCAAGGTATTGACATGACTTTTAACATGCTAGTATAAGCTTCCCTTGATCTGACTTTGTAATAAAATCTTGGAAGTTAACCTACATTTAAATGTCATATTGATGTGGAACTTTATGCGTATTGCGTATGTGAGAATAAAAATATTTTTTTTTTTTTTTTTTGGTGAAATAAAATGAGAAACACGAGTTGTTGTGGGTTGTGTATTATAACGTGTTTTCTCGTGGGAATGAGGTAATCTCCCGCGGTACAAAGTAGTCTATATCACTCTCCAGCCCTCCAACTATGTCCACACAAAAATCACGCCAATCCGTCATTCTGTTTCAACGTGAAAGAGGGACAAACAAACAAACACACTTTCACGTTTATAATATTAGTATGGATATGGATTGTAACGATATGCACTCGCGTGTGCAGCGGACCCGGACCCGCAGAGACGCGCGCTCGTGAAGGAGAAGACCAACAAGTACCTCTCGTACGCGGAGGCGATCTACAGCAGCCGTCTGTGCGGCGCCGACCAGAGCGTGAGTATATATATTTATACTTTATCTTTAAAGCCTACTTGTTCAAAAAACACTTAAGTAAAACTCTAAAAACTCATAAAAAAACCTTTTAGGATGTTTGTTGATATTTTTTAATTATACGAGTGTTATCTATCCATACATACCAATTTCATTGCATGCTGCCACTTTGAAAAAAAATGGCGGTGTGTTACGTCAATTTTCTCGTAACATATTCAAACCTGTTTCATCTTTAAGATTCTAAGGATGGAACAGTTACTTTGAAAAGGTTTTTAGAAATCGATATCCCTTTTATATGTAATATTTTGGCAGTTATTACCAGAAAGAGATAGCGCGTGTCGCCTGCAAGGCATTCCTCTGTCGATGCTGCAGCGGCCGTACGAGGAGCTGGCGCAGTACCGCGTGCTGTCCGTGCTCGGCGGCGCCATGCTGGTGCTGCGCGCGGGGGACCAGGCCTGCTACGCTATGAAGGTATATAGATAAAAAAATTGGAGTGTCTGTCTGTAATGTCAAAATAACAGCTTTTCACCAAATGCGTGTAAAATTATATACAATACTTATAAGAAAAAAAAAACACTATTTTTAAAATATTTGTCTGTCTTTTTGTTCCGGCTAATCACGGAATCGGCTGGGCAGATTTTGATGGGATTTTCACTGGCAGATTGATTATGTTATAAGGAGTAACTTAGGGTACTTACATTTTTGATTCAGATGCACTCGCGCGAAACGGGAATAAGTCGTTAGTGTAGTTATGAGTAAAGCTAAAGTTTGTTCAAATGCAGCTTATTTCACTTTCCACTTAATAAATTTTTATTTAAGCAAAAAATTACATTGTGATTAATATTAGTCCGTCGCTACCTGAAAAATGAAAAAAACAACTCGCGTTTGCACTGTGGTGTTTATAATATTCATAATGGTTGTTTTATAAGCCTAAAACGCAGTAGTCAAGCGCAATGCTTTGATGCTACTCTATCCAGATTATGTAGTTGAACGTTAAAATTGGTCGTGACTGATCGAAATATTGCATTGCAACATAAAAACTTATTAAATAGTGTAAAGACTAAAAACAGAATTTAAACTTTCTATATTCTATTATAGTTTAAATAATTCCTGTTAATTTTGTGAACGATTGTGCTACAATTACAGGTAGTACAAAAAATCCCTAACAATCTAACAGAGTTCGACGATTATTTCCAACAAAGAAATAATGAGACTCGACAAGTGATCCTACCGACGGTTATTCCGTACATGGTGCCGCTACACGCCTACGTCGAAACTAACAACTTAATATTCCTTATACTTGCCTACGCTCCGGGAGAAAAACTGTTCGATTACATCAAAAATTACGCAAAATCGATACCGAACACTCCAGCGAGAGAGCTAAATCTAGAAAACGTATTCGCTGAACCAAAGAAAAAGGATATCGATATCCAAAACGATAATATTGATGTTACAGACTCGATTGCACCTAGAATAGATAAACAATCGAATATAAAAAATACTAAGCCCAACATCAATATAACAGACAATTCTAAAAAAGATACAGATGATGTGAATGAAAATGAAATAAAGACTGATAGTTTGGATAATAGTGATGTATCGGTTAATCAATTAGTTATAAATTCGCAGAAATTGCTAATGAATGTAGATAAAGCGTTAACCGATGTTCCACAAATTAGTCAAGTGAAAGATCATATTAGTACTGCAAAAGAAGATAGAGAGAGAGAAAAGCAAAGAGATACTGCCAAAAGTGATAGATGTGAAACACCAAACTATGCTACTGTAAGTATAAACGTTATTATAATGATAGTTAGGATAATAGTTTTTTTTTAATTTATAGCTACAGATTTTTGGCAATTGAGATAATGCAGTAAATTAAAACAAAAACATAACATTTTGGTATGATTTTGTATTTAGTATTGGCAATTTAAGCAGTAAATTGAACGATAATTTATGTATTTTCAACTTCTTTTACAAAAAATTGTCAAATATCCGGGTAAATCTAAGGAATTAACGTCATAATTTCTGACTTTGCTTAGACAGTGTTAAGGTGTTAAGTAGAAGCATTCCATATCCTATAAATGTAAATGAGAGGGAGAGGGTGCAGGGGGTATTAAGTATATACAATAATCTATACGGATAAATAAAATTGAAGTGTCTGTGTGTAATGTCAAAATAACAGCGTTTTACTAAATGCATATGAAATTAATATAAGGTACTTATAAGAAAAACAAAATTTCTTTTTTTCTTATTTTTGTCTGTCTGTCTGTTTGTTCCGGATAATGTCTGAAATGGCTGGACTGATTTAGACGAGACTTTCACTGGAAGATAGGTGATATGATAGGGAGTAACATAGGCTACTTTTATTTTAGGAAAATAATTAGGGTTCCGCCCAAAAAAATGAAAACGTAGCATAACATTTGCAGTCGGAGCTGAGGCAGAGGTCGGTGCTGCCGCCGGCCGCGGTGTGCCGCTGGGGCGCGCAGCTGCTCACCGCGCTCGAGGGCCTGCACCGCTGCGGCGTCGTGTGCAGGTTTTTGTTTTTATTTTATTGTTCGGATCACGACTGTCGCCGAACGCTGTTAGAATGGAAATAAAAAACAACCTTATTAATGTAATTGTGCTGCCTATGCAACGCCCCTTGCAATTTACCTTAGTGTGTGTGCGCGTGCGTGCGTGTGTATATTAGAGTGTACATGTCGCACTGAGCGAGGTGCCTGGCGCTTGTTATAGCCGGCTGGTTGATGAGAAAATATAAAAAAAATTGATCATGTTTCAATAATATTGATTTTATGTATTATTGTCTACCATTCATTTTATAAAATACAACATTATTTTACGTTATATTTTCCCATATTGTGACAACGAAATAATAAGATTAACATCATCTCTTACTTACGAAAAAAAGTCAGCCATTAAAAGGAATCAATTAGGTATATAGATAGAGATAAATCTTCGGAAATGAAGTGTGTACATCTGGGAGATTCGCAGGGCTTTTACAATTTTTTCCTTGTCCAGTTTTCGTAAAATGTTCCATATATTACTCAAGTTTTTATACTACTAACGATTTGTTCATAAAAAAAATTTGCCAGTGTCGCTGGACACCCGGTCGCTGTCGGCCCTTGGCTCATATTAGTGCATTAGCTCATACACGTTGTCCCGAGTACCAGGGTAGCATAGACATCAAGCAATATACTACGTACATGTTCAAACTCATCGAAGAAAAGCCTGCACTGAGTGTACACAAATTTCGTACAACATACACTCCTGAACACTTATGATCGCCTGGTACTTTTGTCGTGAGTAATAGGGGACCATGAACCTCGAGGAGTGTTCATTATGTATGTAGGGTCCCGTCAAAAAGTGCATACGACCTCTTTAATACTTATGTTCGTCTGGTACCTACTTGTAATGACGTTACATAACACTTATTCGTTACGTGATGATTTCTTACCTTTCAACTCTTTTTTTTTTAATGTTGGGAAATGCATTTATGCATACCACCTGTAGACATACAGGTGGTTTTGTAGGACTCACCGGCTCGAAAAGCCAGTACTACCCATTAAAACGCAACAAAACCTTAATGGGGCGTCGCAGGATCGCTTACGCATTCAACTACGACGCCCCGACGGCAGGTCTGCCGAAACAGACCACTCTGCTATCAGAGAAGTACCAGGAGCAACCCGCATGGTTCACCGCCTTTCGAAGAGGGCCGCCTCCCACCGCCCACCGAAGTGGACCACCTCCCGGTGCGTTCCTTGGCTTCGCGCCCGGCTGTGACCTTTCAACTCCTAGCGCGGTCGTGTCCAAAAACTTCCTTTTAATAACGACGAGCTCCCCCACCAGGGACCTGCACCCCGGCAACATCCTGCTGGGCGCGCGCGGGCAGCTGCTGCTCACGTACACGCCGGGCCTGGACGCGCACGCGGCGCGCGCGCGGCTGTGGGCGGGCGGGCGCGGGCGCGGGGGCGGGCGGGCGGCGCACGTGGCGCCCGAGCTGTGGGCGGGCGCGGCGGGCGCGGCGGCGGCGGGCGCCGGCTGCGACTACTGGAGCTTCGGCGCTATCATGTATCATCTCATATGTGGATATGTTAGTGTTTCTCGTTAATACTCTCTAGATTTATGCCGTCATTTGGCGTTTCTACACGCAATGTTGTACGCACAATGTATTTTATATATCTAAATATAACTAGCGATTTATCTTCGTTTCGCTCAAGTATATATGAACGCATAGAGGATGAACATACAAATATTTATTTTTATGATATATATTAAGAATAATGTAGTGTAGAAATAAAGTCGAGCTCCCCCGTGCCGCAGCCGCTGTCGCGCGCGCTGCCGCCGCCGCCGTCGCGCGCGCCGCCGCGGCTGCCGGCCGCGCTGCCGGTGGAGGCGCGCTCCCTGCTCACACAGGTGTTTTTATTTTGTCATTGTATATATTAGGGTGGAAAGAAAAAAAAAATTTTTCTTAGCTTGAGAGTAGAATTTTTAGCTTATAAAAAACAAGTTTTTGTGTAAAAACGAAATTTTTTACTCAAAATTTCGTGGTGGCCAACTTATTTTTAAAATAAATAATTAATTTAAATTTTTGGTTTGAATGAATACCTTTTTTTTCGAGTCGAGACGAATAGAGTCATTTTGTACTCTCAACTTTCACTGTAATACAATAAAAGTAGCATGTAATTTTTTTAACCTTTTTTAAAATGGCAACAATAAGTACAATATTACGACATACGACGAACATAGAACCTCCTCCGTTTAGGAACTCGATTAAAAAGATAACAGGTTTCTAATGTCAAGTAAATATGCAAGTTAATTTTAACATAAAAATATAAATTTATAAACGATTAAATTGGTAAATAATAACAAAAAGATAATTATATTTTTTTCAGCTTTTAACGTACGAGCCATCGGAAAGGCTCGGCTGCGGGAAGGACGGAATAGAAGAAATCAAACGGCACCCGTACTTCAAGCACATAGATTGGGACGAAGTCCGGGACGCCTGGGTAGCTCCGGGATGCTGACATGAATCTCTTAACTAAATTATTTATTATGAACAGCTACCATCTTAGTCTTATTTTGGATATTTCTCTAGGTTATATGTGTCATACATTTTATGGTTTTACTTCAAACCGTTTGGACAGAGTACGCCACTAAAGCAAATTAAACTTGTTAATTGAAGTTGGAAATAAAGCCGTTTAGGCCTTTTAGGCTTTTAGGTCGTCTAGGCCTTTTTCCAACTTTAATTAGCTATCATGATTTCTGACAGTAAACACGTTTTGTGTCGAAATCAAAAATAGCCGATAGCGCAGTAATGTAGCTTTCTATAAGTGAAAAAAACTTTAGAATTAAATGAGTAGTTTCAGAGATTACCTCCTAAATACAAATTTACAAACCTACATACTTTATCTCTTAATAATATTAGTATAGACCAACCAGCGAATCTAGGTCTCTAGCTGTCTAGCAGTAGCCTGTGTGTTACTCCAGGTCATAGTCTGTGTACTAAACTACATTCAAATCTGTTTAACCGTTTCAGTTTTACTTACAAACATACACACAAATTTTCGCATTTAGAGTAGTACTAGGATTATCTTTAAAAAATACATCTTTATTTAACTTTCAAGAGGGTCTTCTAGTAATACTTTACTTTTATATGACACTTTACTAATATATGACATTTTAAATAAAACTGCCCTTTTCGGATTATTTCGCGGATTTATTTTAATTTTAAGCTATTGCATAGCTTCTATCGCGGGCCTTGAGCGTGGGGACCGAATCCAGAAATTCCGTAACGAAAAAAACCTGACACCCCCCACTCCGACCGGCACAGCGGTGATACTTCCATCTATCGATAAATACTAGAACTTTTAATGACTTTTTGAAATATCACGCTTGTCTCTTTAGTTCAGCAACCCGCCTTTAGGTGGCATTGGTTGTATTGGAAAACTACCGTAATCAGCTGTTTGTGAGAAAGTATATAGGTGTATAGGTATTTATCATCTATGTACAACAGTGAATATCTGTACTCGTATAATTTGTGTACAAAGTGTTTTAAATATGAATAAACAAAATGCATTTATTAATGAAGAAAGTCAAGGAAAAAAATACTGCATTAATAAAATAAATAAATAATTATAATTGCATAAGTTGATAAAAAATGCTATGCAATAGCTTTACCGCGGCAGTCTCCGAGTGCCACATTTAATTTTTTGGCTCCCGAAGTTTCGAATCCTTTACAGCAATCATGGTCACGGAAGAGATGGGTTTTACACGTAACAGACGGTATCTACCCACAAAATTACACAATGAATTGAAAAATACCAAAATGTAAAGAATTCGAAACCGCGTCGGGAACCAAAAATAAAAATAAATTCGCGAAAAATCAGAAAAGATAGTTTTATTTAAAAGGTTTTCTGACTTAGGTAGGTCAGGTAGTTTGAAATTAGAGTGTAAATACAGGGTGTACATAGAACAGGTATAATGAGTAAATATATTTCCAATTATTTTTTAGTAATTTAATATCTGAATACGTGTTTCAACCTCCGACTAAAGAATTATATAGACGGAGTCCGCCAAAATAAATGTGAAAGTCAAAAATAGTATCGTAATTTGCTGTTTATGCTACTATTCTCGATCTCTTTAAAGAATAAGTGATAATTTATGTGTAACTGATGTCAAGTTACTATATAATTTTTGAAAATAAAATATAAAATATGAATAATAAAATACTAATATATTTTTTAAGAATTTCATTTTTAATTTACATTTATTTACTTAACACTCAGTATATAAATTGTGATTTGTATACTATTTTAAATTTTTAACATGATTGTTGGGCTTCATGTTTAGTTCTATGACACTGTCTATCATATTCCTTAGTCTGAGGTTTTAATCTTATATATTTGTATGAATAAATATAATGTATGGTTCTAGAAGGTACTGTTGAAAGACATACAAATGAATGGTTAGATAATTGCATTCACTCGAGTATTTATTTCAAGTGAGTGATTGGAACTTGGCTATTTTACATTCAATTTTGTTTTTAAATTTCTTATTATGGCTTATTTTGTAATATTTAATTATATATTGTCATTATTAAGTTGTGTTCAGATGTAAAGTGAAATTTAAAGTTATTTTATCAAATCTGTACTCGTCGATCAAAAAAGTACTAGATAAACAATCAGCGACAAAAAATGTCCTCACCGAATGAGCGCTCATTTGTACATTTGAGCGCGCTTTTATTTAATTTTTCGTGAAAACAACTTTAAACATTGCATATAAGGTTTAATTCACATTGTTGTATATTTATTTCAACTAGAATAATTGCCTAACCACAATTGGTGACGGTTATAAGAGAACTTTTGCATGGGATTGTGTATGTAGTAATTTTTTGATCAATAAGTGTTCTTCACAAAAAAAAATAGAAGATAAATCACATTAGAATCGAAGTTAATATTTTTCATTCCAATCACGTAGTAACAGTATTCGAGTTAACAAAGATTCCGCATTATAATGATGTTTTACAAAAAAATAAATCAGTTCCAATTTATTAAAAAAAACAAAGATTAGTTAGAGGTGATTTGTGAATACATAATGGATGAGAGTAGATACATATTTAATTTTCTACTTTTATCTTTTAGTTTCTAAGCCTCAAAAGTAATTCTTAAAATTAGAATTTGGTATGTTAGTATATCTACCAAAGTATAACTATATCGTCTAGTAGGTTCGGAGTAAATATGGTGGGGCAGACGGATATAACCGCAAGTGTTCATTTTTTTTCTCCTATGTGGAACCCCAAAAATGCAAAGATGAAAATATTGTTATTATTGATTTCCAATAGTAATTAAAATAGTTCAGTATTATTTAAATCAATTGATATGTACATGGAAAGCGAAAAAATATAAATTGTACAATTATGTATAATTGTTAGGGTGGCGCTATAATAAAAAATAAAAAACTACGGTCTTAAAAAATAAAAAACTAACATATTTACATACGAGACACAAAAAAGTAGTCGTTATTTTTGCGCCACTCTTCACACTTATGAATGTATTAGTTCCTAGAAAAAAATTAATGTAATTTTTAACGGCTTTGAAAAATTTGTACTTACAAAGTGTGTTCCTCTAGTCCGAGATATGTTGAAAACTACATTTTGTTTACTTCAATTGTCCAAAGTGAGAAAAATACGTTTAAATTATTATATTATGTTTTGTTTACAATTTGGAAGATTTTTTTATACAGTTATTTTTTTAATTTATAGTTGCTGAGTATTATGTGACATACAATGGAATATTGTAGTGTGCAAACAGTAAACGTAGTCTGATAGTGAAAGTGTAAGTTGTGTAAGCTATTAAATATAATTATATAGTAGGATTCGGTTATTAAAAAATGTATATAAAATTGATTTTAGTGAATATTAACACAGTCTAACCATATAGGCGTCTGAGGCGAAGTGCTCCCGACTGACATACTTACTTTTGTTTGACACTCGGGAGACGGTTTTTTTTTATTTTTTTAAAACAACTATTACTTTTATGACACAATATATTTTAAATTCATTCTTAATTACAAGTTCTAGTGTCTTAGTCACTTACTGGTGTCTATGGGATGACCACTGACCAGCAATTTACATACATGCATTGATAATATAAAAAGAAAAATAAAATGATTAAAAAATAATGGTAAAATTTATACAGAATAAAAATAATCAAGTAAAAAAAAATTATAAAACGATATAAAATAAAGCATATGCAGGCTAACATGTAGAATAGTTCATTAAGTTTATACAAAAAAAAACAATAAAATTTATTAATAACATTTAAGTTGCTTTAACTAATTATTTATGTATAAAAAAATATTTAAAACAAGGCATTTAAGTTTGTCGGGTATAATTGTGATTTGCCACAAGATGGCGGCAGTGCTTTAACTTTAACCGTTCTCCGTTACAATTGGTATTGACAACCCTTGTATTTGATAGAATTTTCGTTAAATTCAATCGGCGATGGCACTCTATATGGATTTTTGTTTGTACAGTGCTATAATTATTGATACTTGTACTTCTACAGAAATAAATTCAATGATTATAAAATATTATCATTCATTTAATGCGGTTTAATAGTTAAAATTAAAATATTTCTTTGAAAAGACTATACATATATTAAAATAACGATATATGTTGGGACATTAAATACACACATTCGTGCTCATCCCACAAATGAATGCCCCCAGCGGGACTCGAACCCACGACGCTGGCACAGCACGTAGGGTTAAACAAACTGAGCCAAACATGTCATCAAACAAGTACGATAATACACTTCAAAATAACCGAATGTAGATTTTTATTGATCTGATTGATAGTATTATTTATATGTACAATATATTATTTTGTTTAGAAGAGAAAATGTTACAAAGAGTAAATGTTTTAATATTTTGTTTTGATATAAGCATATCTGAAATGAGTTTGTAATTTGAAAATTCAAATTAGAAAGTAAGCATGTTCTTAGTGTTAGTATATACAATATACATATATCCGTAGCTATTTTTATATAACAAGTAAAAGTGGTTTATGTAATTCAAGTAAAGTACACTCATGTGTTTATTAAAGTTTATAAATGCAGAAAGTTTTAATTTATTTATAACTAGCGACTTACACTCGCTTCGCTCGGGTGCTTCCCTAGGTATCTACGCGGATTTTTTTTCACAATTTCATGGGTTTTAATTTTTTACGCGAAACCTTGATTCTATTCCTAAAGTAAATTTAGCCTAAGCTATTCCTAATAACATCAGCTATCTGCCAATGAAAGTCTCGTCAAAATCCGTCCAGCCATTTTGTAGATTAACCGGAACAAACAGACAGATAAAATTTTAAAAATGGTTTTTTTTTCTTTATTCTTATAACTGTATATACTTTAATAAAAATCTGTTATTTTGACATTACAAACAGACGCTTCAATTTTATTTATCTATAGATAACAGCATACGGAATAAAAGAACTCTAGAAAGTTTATTTGAGTTATGCAAGTAAACATAAATGTCAATATAGAGTGAACTACTTGTACAGAAACTAAATGAAAGAAAATGCAAGAAAAATTCTAAATAATTTGTTTGTATATTTTGCTTATCGCATAAGTCTTTTGATTTATGTATAATGTAAAGATTTCGTACGTATTGAAGGGAGGTCTATGCCCAGCAATGGGATGTTTAAAAGATCAGAATACATAAATCTATACAAAATACAAAGTACTAGTGATGCGCCGAATTTTCGGCCGAATATTCGTAGTCGGTATGTTCGGCGCTTTTTTTGTGTTCATATTCGGCCGAATATTCGGTTCAAATACCGAATAATTACCGAATATTTTAATAGTATTTATATTAAAGGCAGTGGTAGCCCAGTGGTAAAGCGCTCGCTTGGGAAACCGAGTGAAGCGGTTCAAATCCCGGGTCTCGCACCTCTGATATTTTCATGTGCGAATCATTTCTAACATGATTACCACTTGCCTTACGGTGAAGGAAAAACATCATGAGGAAACCTGCATGTCTGAGAGAACCTACCAAGTTTTCGAAAGACATGTAAAGTCCGCCAACCCGCACTAGGCCAGCGTGGTGGACTATGGTTTGAATCCTGATCCCCCTCGTATTGAAGGGAGGCCCGTGCCCAGCAGTGGGACGTTAAAAAAGGCTGAATACAATTTATATTATTTAAAAAATTAAAAAAGGATTTACTTAGAATTAGAAATAATTTGTCGGGTTGACATACTTTACTATTAACTAGAAACTCTATTTAGTCTTATAATATTTCAAGACTGTATCAATATAAACTTATACTCTTATAAAATATAAGTAGATATCATTTATCATGGCCTCTAAGTCCGTACGTTTACGAGTGTAAAATTTGCTATAATCTTACGTCATAGCATCGTAAATCATTACACAGTAAGTATAGTGTATACGCGAGACAGGTAAGCATTTTACTTACCCTCCGAGGTCATAACTCGTAACATTTCTTCTTAATTTACAACTTCTTAACAACATAAACCTTTTCCCACCGTATTAAGATATATTATAATTTAATTTATCGCATTCATCGACATAAATTGCTAACCGAAAACATACTTTACGTTTCGTTCTGTGAACTTAAATTTCTTTCGCAATTCTCACTCAGAAAATTATTCAAACGACAACGATCTTTAATATGAATGATATAGACTATAAAATCTTTTAAATAATTAAAAATACTACAGTATTATACGACATCACAAAATGACACCTTATTTAATATACTTTTTAAGAAAACGCATACTTTTTAATTTGTCCGTCTAATACCACAATCTTAAGTGAATGTAGTTTCTTACTGAGTGGTTGGAAGTTGGAACAGTCGTTCATTCGTCAAGGAAAGGTTGAGTCGTGTGGCGCATGCGCTTTGAGTGATTTAAAAAAAAACTTTTGTTGTTTCCCGCGAATTATATTATTTATTATTTTAACTTCATCCTTCAGTGATAAAAATCAAATATAGTAAAAAGTAACGATCATATAATTTTCTTATTTACTTTACACGTGAATGGAATTTTCGATCTAAACTGGTTAGTTTGTAAACGAATTGTTTTTTATATTTTATTCATAGATTAAAATTGGATCTTTGTTTACTTTAGTGTCGTGGATTATTGGATTCCAGCAGACAGGTGAGTTTATTTATAGTTTGATACACAAAACTGTTTTATTATACTAGAGTCATTATATTGCTTAAGATTTAATGTATACAATATGCATGTGAGGTTGTAAACAAAATGAGAGAACAAATTTTATTTAAAACAAAACTTTACTAATATTTAGTTTTAAAGCACTAGGAATGTAACCGGATTTTAATGTTATGATGTCATTTTACGTGACATACCTATTAACGAAGGTAAATTTCAAATATTTATTTAATAATTAAAGTAAGTTAAAAATTTGTATTATTTTGGACTTCTTGCTTCACTTTATTAGAATCAGGGTAGATGTAATAATGTTACATTAGAAATATTTTCAATACCTAATTTTTCTCGACAAATCTACGATCATATTATGTTTATACATTTTCTACAGAAGCCATCGAGCATATTATTAAACACGTAACTTTAATCGATCAAAAAAAAATACCGTTTTTATATTCATTTTCTAAATAATACTAAAGTGATATCTTATTTCGTCCTTACGTAGTAGAAGTTTTATTCGAATCATACAATATATTCAGTAAATAGTATAATTTTTCAGTATGCAGTCTGTTATGACATTTAGTGCACACACAGTACACACTTTAACAATGCTGTGGGCAAAATGTTCTATTGAATTTATGTTCCTATTTAATATATATCTATCGAAATAATCAAGAATATCCGACACGCCGGCGTTACAGTACACAATAGATTTCTTAGAAATTTAATTAATTTCTTAGAAATTTACCTGGAGGTGTTAAAGCATAATACACTAACGACTCACCCTCGCTTCACTCGGGTTCGACCCCAGCTTGATTCCCCATACAAACATACATCCCCATTTTCACCCCCTTAAGGGATGATTTCCGGGATAAAAATTATCCTTTGTCCTTCCCTGGGTCTCAAAGTATCTTGTTACCAAAATTCATCTAAATCGATTCAGTAGATCCAGAGATTACCCCCTACAAAGTCACAATATCACAAACTTTACCTCTTTATAATATTAGTATAGATAAGTTGATTTCTGCAAGTAGTGAAATATACGGTAGTAACTATATTATCAGATGTTAGTAGGTACTTTCTAGTATAAAAGTACTGGAAGGTCACACAGGTGTAGTCGCGTGGAACTATTTCATTGTTTATGTAAACAAGTTTAGTGTGTTTCGTTATGAAATGTAAAAAACAGGTATATTTAACCACATATTTCGTAATTGTTAATTTTATTGACTGTGGGAACTGGAAGTGAAAGACGTAAGATAATGCCAATAGAAACAGCTTGCGATTTCGATATAATATAATTTACCTATACCTACCTATTATTCGAATACGACATTATGATAAACAATAATGTAATTGTATTTTTTTTAATCATTTAAATGGCAAGAATTATCTTTTTTTACATGTTGGGTAACTTACTACCTAGCTTATCTGTATAGTCTTGAATCTAAATTATCAGATACACAGATCCGCTTCTAAACTAAAACAAATGATACTTCATTGAATGTTTAAGTAAATTATTGCAGCGTTATACTTCCTTGACTTTTTTAATAAAATATGCATAGTAAATGCTAATTTTGATTTATGTGGCATGAGAATTTATATACCTACCTGTTATATTGGAGGTAATTTCTTGATCAACTTCGTTAGTAATAATATATTCCTACAAGTGCCTCAGCTTTTCCCTTGAAAGTATAGTCATAATAAATCATAATTCAATACGTTAAAATTACTAATATTTAGTTATATTATGGCTATAAATTTAATCATAAAGTAAATTTAAGCGTCCAAGATGTTATTTAAATGCATTAACATATTACTGTAATAAAATTCCAAAATATACGAATACGTAATTTCGTGAGAAGATCGAGCTTCGCGTGCGTTGAAATCTTTTTGTTGCCGACTGTAAGAATTTGCTTCCTACATTGTAAAATTAGGACTAAAAGATAAATTATTATACAATATTTTATCAAATAGACAATCTGTTATCATTTTCTTTATCAAAAACTCAAGAAACTCTTACCGTTACTGTAAATTATAATCTTATTTAATATATATGTACTTACACATTTAACTTCTAGTTTAACATATAACTTATTTAGTACCTTGTTAATGATATACTATTATTTAAACTAAAGAGAAAAGAGAAAAAACTTTCCAGTGTATTATGTCCGTCGATGCGACAACTTTCTCTTACGTAAGAGCATTTATATGCAAAATGCGGTGTATGAGCCACGCCTTGCTCATATCATCTATCTTATGTTGTTATGCTAAAGGTACCTGTTTCATTTAATAATAATTTATGGTTTTGTTAACCCCATATTGTATAGAAAATATAGATATTTAAACTCTTGATTCATTGATTATGTTTATGGTGGATTGTAAGAGGTAAATCGAAAAGGAAACATATTTTCTTCCATTTTTTTTAGTTTTTTCTTCTTATCATCGCAATCTGTACATTAAATATTTTTTGGAAAATCTTATTGATATAAACATTATTATCGATACAGAGGCCGAATCTATAGTTTTTAAAATTTTTGTCTGTCTGTGTGTCTGATACCGCATCATAGAAAAACCACTGGAGGGATTATGATGAAATTTGGTATGGTGATAGCTGGTTATCCGGGTCAACATATATGATTATATTACAACTTTACAACAACAACATATTACAACTTTTTACCGCAGGAAAATGTCTCATATCTGAGAAAAAATACAAAAACTGCAATGTAATATGTAAAACCTAATGTGTACTAATATGTAAAACCTAAGAATTTGGTTTTTGGTCATCTGAACGCGGGCGGAGCCGCGCGCAATGCTAGTATTTTTATAAATCTATTATTAGCTTCTATGGTTACGAACGTAACCGAGGTCAATAGAATATGCACATAACACAAATGTACGTATTGAATGAGCTCGTAGACATATCGAGTAATCTTGTTATTGCAATATTCCCACGTTACCCCACACGTTTACCCGAAGCGCGATTCAGTTTTTTAGTCTCAAGAATATTTCTTATTCTAAGTCTTTTAATTTTCACACGTATTCCTGTTTTTTTATGTTTCTATAATTTCTAAGAACAGAGAATCATTTTTGTTACAATTTGATGAAAACTTATAGGGGCATTAAAAAGGCTATTTCACCATAAGGGGTTTTTTTCTTTAAATTTTTATGAAATCAACTAAGCTAGGCTACAAGGTATACATTGAAAAGTCATGAAAATCATTCAAAATCGACAAAAAATATAAAATAATATACTCAAATTGAATACCTCTCCTTTTTAGACGTCGATCAATCACATGTATTCTCTACATATAATAGATTGAACGCTTATAAACGTAATAAGAGAAAACTAAGCTGCTGGAATGACAATAGTGCAACTGTTAGCAAATAACAGATCACGTACGAAGATAACGTGCGTGAGAGAACGCAGTTTCTCAACTAATCAACTATATTATTTGTTACGGAACGCACATTCTAGTTTTAAATGTAGTTTTGTGTTAAATTTGAAATTTAATTAAAACTAGCAGCTCTCGTGGCGTCGCCCGCGTTCAAAGTTCTGTTCGCTATCAAACTTCACAGGATCACCTGCTGGGCTACTCAGAAATTACCAGACAAATTTCATCAAAATCGCACCAGCCGTTTTGGGAGTCCATAGGGAACATATATATATATATATATATATATATATATATATATATATATAGACATCTTTCTATCTTACTATAGGTTTGCTTTTAAGACAAAGGTAATATATCAAACCATTTACATAATTCTTTATTAATTTGTTTATCTTAGTTTGATAAACATTTAATTTAGCAAATAAAGTAAAGGATATAAAAATATAAAACTACAATTTTTCGTTGGACGTTAAACTTTTATATTTAACTACTGAAGCTCAGGGACACACCCGAGCGAACGAGAGCATATCGCTACTCTAATATAAAAATCTTTAAAGTTTAAAATAGGCTTCACATAATTTTCATCTGTAGTAAAAATATTTAAAAATTGTTATTTCGCCTTCTAAATAACAAAACGTGTGAATAACAAAAAAAAACAATACTACAGTATCAATAACGCTAATAGTAGCATAAAATTCAAGGATACAATATATAACTCGACGGAACTTCTATTGCATTATCTCATCCGTCTATCTCTAATCATTTCTTATCCAATTATCCTGCGTGTTGTATGGTTCGCAAAAACATGAACAAAGTAGTAAAATTTTACATCAATAATTTTTTATTTGAGAAAACCGTCATATATTTCATTAGTTAGTTAGTTTGGTTTATTTTAATATAAACTTTATTTTAATATTACCTAAATGTATACATACATAGAATAAAACAAAGTCGCTGACTCTGTTTTTACGCTTAGATCTTTTAAACAACGCAACGGATTATATATATATTATATATAAAATATATACTATAATATGCAGGTACCTAAATATTATATATATACTTACATATTATATACATAAAAGCCGAGAAATTCAAAAATTTGTATTGTGCGATTACATGGCCTACCTATTTAAATTGCTTGCTAAATAATGTAAAGAGATCGATTGATTAATAATAACCGGATATAGACCCCTTCTAAACTAAGAACCTCTTTATTAAACTCACTATCGAATCTTTCAGATACCTTAGAGACGGTAAAAGCTAATATATATTATATATAAACAAAGTAGTATTGTACCTAATAGAGTCGCTGAAAAAATTAACGAATGACCACCGAATTATTCTCATATCGATATCTTTTGCTTTGTAAACTAGTGGCTCGTGAAAGAATTTCATGAATTCAATTGCCTAATAGAATGCCGACTTACCTGCGACGCCGCGCTATGCAGGTGCGAGTTTAAACTCCTTGCTGTTTAACTTACCTTTCGACACCTATGTATACGACAAATATATAATAAAATTCTGAGTCGAATCTGTACATTAAATATTTTTTGGAAATTCTTATTGAAATTGTCATTATTATCAATA